AGATGTCCCTATCCACCATTCACCCTGACAACTGCCTTCCCCCAGCGCAGCCTTCAGCTCCCTTCTTTTCTACTTTCTGATAGATATTTTCCCACCAAGAACAAAAAGAATGAAAACAAAACATTTTATCACCACCATGATTCCTGGCACAACTGCATATTTATCTGTGCTTCCAACATCTGACCTACAAGCTATTTGATAAAACTGACAGTGAGTGACATTTTGTTTAGCTTTACGTATTATATGACGTTATCTTTTATGCCCTGTGAGATTTCTATTTACACGTGAGATTCGATTCTGAAGCAATACATTTGGACACAGGCATTATAGATTATGCTACTCTGACCCGGCTCAAAATTTGTCAGCAGGGAAAATGAACTTGAGAGAAAGAAAGAAAAACAAAAACCCTTTATCTATAAAATTCAGGCTGAAACTTCCTTTATTAAAAATCCAAATAACTTATATAACTCTGAAATTACCAAGAAATTCCACAGAACATGCCACCTTTTATTTAGGAAACAAGTTTCTCCCATTTTCCAGTGTGGTTCTGAGCTACAGTATGTTGAATCAAGCTAAGCGGATAGGCCTGCACTATTTCAGCCACATCCTACCCCATCCCACAACGTTCCTGTAGATGAGGGCAAAGGCGGGCATTGTGATTTTGCGGTTATTTGTTGTTTCACAGTAAAACTGCCTTAATCGTGATTGTCAACGTGCAGCTGTAACCATGGGACCCAGCTGCACCTTTCCTCATTGCTTGTTCCCCCTAGGTCTCCGGGTCTCCCGCAGAGGCTTCCTAGTGGCCTACAACTGCAGTCTATTAGTTCAGCATGCTCTAATCTGAGCAAATGTTGCTCGAGATGGGTCAACCACAATCTCTATCAAAAACTGGGAAGAATTTTATAAAGGAATGACAGCAAACAATCAGCAAAAGCTGAAGAGAAGAGCCTCAGACTACTAAAGGATTTAAACTTGGGATGCCTTGAAGCCCCCTCCTATCCCCTTTCAGTGTGTACAATTTGGATCCACAGGAGAGAAGGCCTAGTTGGATTTTCCTCAGGTCATTTCTCCTAATTCAACCTGAGCTTTACAAAATTGGTGCTTGGCAGGCTTTGTGTCCTGGACCCTGTCTACCCTGGACCCCAGGGCTCTATTTACCCTTGCCTTCCAATGTCCACAGTGTTCTGGTGGTGGCCTCCTCTCCAACCCCATCTGAGTGTCCGTAGAACATAAAAATGTAGTTATGCCTAGTTTCCCGTCAAGGGTGATGCTGTGAATTTCTATGCCCCATACTCTAATGACTACTTGATGTTCTGTTAAAAAATACAGACTCAGATGCTGCTGGCTGAGCCATGTACCACCTAGGAGGTCTCAGGACTTAACTTCTCAAAACCCCAATTTCCTGACTTGAAAAATCAGGTTTGTGAGACACACAGGGCCTTTGTTCAGAGCTGGACACACAAGGAGCACTCAGTGAAGGCTATCTCCCTCCTCCTGGGGCCCAAGGCTTCCCACTGAGAATAAGAAAAAAAAAGTGCCCTTTTATCAACTTGATAATAAAAGAAACCACTTAAGTCAAAGCGCTTGCCAAGTTTTAAATTCTGATTTGCCAGCTGAACTACCTAAACCCCTTCTGCATCTGCTGAAGATTAAACCTGTGAGACGCTGTGAATCTGCTTCCATTCCATTTGTGCCCTTTTAGGAAGGATGCCACTGAGGCTTTCCCTACAATGTCCACTCCTACCAGGCTTTCCTCCCACCAGCGAAGTCTGCAAGGTGGAGCTGTCAACACCAGTTTGGTAAATGAGGAGTAGCCAGTGGAGGGATGATCAGCAGCTGCCACAGCGGGTGCAAAGGCAGAATTTAAAGTGGAACAATCAAGACAGTGTTTCTAGTGCTCTGGTGACATCATACACCATGAACATTTTATTCATTGTCTGCATGGAGCAGAGAAAGAAAGGTTCACTCATTACAGACACAGATCAGGGGGCAATCCAGATTTTCTAGCAGAAGCCTGCACTCTCCTGGTTTGTGGTGGTGTAAACAATAACCTTTTTAATCTTCTCTGATAAAAGGTACATGAGCGCTAGAGCAGTGAGCACAAAACTGTCCCTTACTGGCTACACCACTCGGCTACCTGTCTGAGCAATGGCCTGGGATGAGCTGTTTCTCTGGATTTGTGTGCTCACTTTTTAGCCAAGACTAGGATTATCAACTATTGGTGAAATCCAGAGTCCTAAGAGTCCCCAGGATTCCACCCAATTTTTAGATGTGCTTATTATAACTGTAACTCTTGCATCCTAGCGAGCTGTGAATTAGATTAGAGGTTCACAAACTCCAGCCCATAAGCCAAATGCAGTCCCTGCCTGTTTCTGTAAATAGAGTTGTTTGGATGTTTGTGGCTGCGTCTGTGCAGCAATGCAGAGCCGAATCACCACAGAGACCATACGGCCTGCATAAAACCCTTACTCTCTGCACTTTACAGAAGACGCTTGCTGACCCTGAGTTGGATGCTGTCTTGCTTCTGAGCACAAAAGGAGGCTCCTTGCTGAAGTGCTGCAGTGACATGTCCTGCGTCCCTGGCACTAGCTGCTTGTACATGGGAGGAAACAGAACAAGAGCTCCCTTCCCAACACAGACTATGCTGTAGTATCAAAAATGACCAGATGGTTGGGACTCCAATGTAACCATAGAACAGAGGGAACTAAAGACTCTTGGCACAATCAAGGAAGGACTTGCTTTTATAAATGTGGCCTTTTCTGATCCCATTGTAGCAGACCTTGGGTTTAAAAACTGTCAGAAAGACCAAAATATGTATTTGTTAAAAATCTAGCCTAGTTGTTACTAACCTTTTATTGGGGGGAAAGGAGTAGTAGCATTTCTCAAGAGTAATATACACACAGACATCCACGATTTTTACTTAGAAGTTCTGGGGGTTCATGGGCCCTCAACAAGCTAATCCATGAACCCCAGATTAAGAAACTCTGATCAATTTTTCTGCTTGTCATGGGAAAAACAAACTTTAAAAGTGTTAGTCGGCCGGGCTCTATGGCTCACGCCTGTAATCCCAGCACTCTGCGGGCGGATCACGAGGTCAAGTGATAGAGACCGTCCTGGCCAACTTGTTAAAACCCCTTCTCTACTAAAGATACAAAAATTAGCTGGGCAAGGTGGTGCGTGCCTGTAGTCCCAGCTACTCGGGAGGCTGAGGCAGGAGAATCGCTTGAACCCGGGAGACAGAGGTTGCGGTGAGCCAAGATTGCACCACTGCACTCCAGCCTGGGCAACAAAGATCGAGACTCCATCTCAAAAAAATAAATAAATAAAACTGACAGCATTTACTAAGGGCCAAATGAGTGGTAGAGGCAATAACGTTACTGGAATTGAGTAAAGAAAGAGATGCTTGTTGTTTGTAAGGTTGGGGAAGGCTTCACAGAAGAGATGCAATTTGTCCATCATCTCAGAATTGCCAAGTTTTAGACAAGCAGGAAGCAGCAGGGTGGGCTGGGCTGCAAATGTCTTGAAGGCTCAGAAAGATCTCAGCCTTGGATGTCTCCCCGTGGGCCCCAGGTTGGGGGCGCTAAAACATCCCTAAAGCACAGTCACCTCAAGAACGTCCAGGTGTCTATTCCAGATTCCACAGTGCACCTAACCACTGAGAAATCACACTTGTCAGGAAACTCAAACTAACCTGCCATTATCTGAAAAGTCTGCTTACGTACTATTCCTTTTTCCACTTCCATACCTGTGAGGCCAGATATTCCTCCTCTACGTCAGCCAAGGCAACACATTATAACAGACTCAGCCTAAATGCAAGAGCAGATGGAAGAGTCCAGCTGTCTTCCACTAAGCCTGACGCCAGAGAGATTTATAAAACACCAAAACACTGCCACTCTTATTGTCTTTTGGGCTTTGGAAAAGATATTTTCATAAAAATATGGAATTTATGTAATGGAATTTTTATTGTGCTTTTTAAGTGAATATGTATTTTTGAAACTTGTTGATTTTAATTTCTAGTATTGTAAATAGTAGGTCTACCCAATAAGAAACAAAAGCTCCCTAGGTTCCTCAGGTTATTTTTTCCTTTCTTTCTTTTTTTTTTTTTTGGACATAGGGTCTCACTCTGTCACCCAGGCTGGAGAGAAGTGGCATGATCTAGGCTCACGGCAGCCTCAACCTCCCAGGTTCAAGTGATTCTCCAGCCTTAGCCTCCCCAGTAGCTGGGACTACAAGTGTGAGTCACCGATACCCAGCTAATTTTTATATTTTTCGTAGAGACGGGGTTTCGCCATGTTGGCCAGGCTGGTCTCAAACTCCTGACCTCAAGTGGCCCACCTGCCTTGGCCTCCGAAAGTGCTAGGAGAACAGGTGTGAGACACCACACCCAGCCAGATCCTCAGTTTTTAGAAAATAAAGGGGTCCTGAGACTGAAAGTTTGAAGAGAACCATTACTTTACATAAAGTAGAACTCAGTGATATGCCTCCTGTGAATCAGGTTTTTCTGGTCTGCTTTTCTCATGTTTGTTTCTTATTTTTTACTGAGTTAGGCTGTGTGCTCAGGAACCCAGAAAAGCAACCTGTCCTTGTAGCCTATAAAGCTCCTAAAATTCTGTTCTGAGTCTCCATGTCCAAAGCTAAGCCAAGGGGTTTTAGAATACCATATAGGCCACGCACACGGGTTCACACCTGTAATCCCAGTACTTTGGGAGGCCAAGACAGCAGATCATTTGAGCCCAGAAGTTCAAGACCAGCCTGGCCCACATGACAAAACCCATCTCTACTAAAAATATAAAAATTAGCTGGGCATGGTGGTGCACACTTATAATCCCAGCTGCTGAGGAGGCTGCAGCACAAGAACTGCTTGAACCTGGGAGGTGGAGGTTGCAATGAGCCAAGATTGCACCACTGCACCCCAGCCTGGGCAACAGAATGAGACTGTCACAAAAAAAAAAAAAAAAAAATTACCAAATAGAAAATAATGCCCAATAAAGTACAGGATGTTAATTTCTTAGAATTTTTTCATGAATGTGACATTTTTTGCCATATAACTCATATCTTTTGAGATAGATGTTAAATAAATGAAAGTTGATGTGCCATGCAGAGCTTTATTTCTTGGCAAGAAAACTGATGGATTAAAGATGGCCACAGTTGCTTTGAACTTTCCCCATTGAGAAGTGGAGTGTATCTTCCCACAGCCTGAATTTAACCTGGCACTGTGAATACTTAAGGTATAGATTACAGCAGAGTGGCACTGTGCCCACTGCTGGCTCAGCCTCTTAGAGGACTGACGAGAGCTTTTGCTTCTGCTGCCTGGGGACAATCACTCCTAGGACTCTGCCTCTCAGACCCTGCTGCTGTGCTGTGGAAATCCCAGGCCACACAAACAGCCATGTGTAGGTGCTGGGGTCAACATCCCCAGCTAAGCTCCAGACCCCAGGCCATACCCACTGGCAGCTGTGGGACTGAGCTGTCTTGGAGGCTTCCACCGATGAACCTCCCAATGACTGTCATCCAGGTGACATCACAGGACTAGAGCCCAAGTGACCATGGTCCACACACAGAGCTCTGGGGAATAACAGAACAGCTGCTTTAAACTATTAAGTGTTGCCTGGTTTGTTATGCACCAATATATTTTAAATATATGTAAAATGTGGGGAGACACTGCTTGAATTCATCGCTTTCTCTGTTAAGACCTGTTAGGTGCATTAATCAACAACAAGCACTACAGACCCTGAAGTAAGCATTTCACATTAAGTGATTGGACCCAACTAGTTTAATGAAAAGTTTGGTCTCCCACCTTATTTTTGATCCAGAGTACAAGGGACTATTAACTATCTTTTCCATTATACTTCTCCATTCAGCAAGCACTCTGTGGAGCGAAGGAGATTACTAGGTTATATAAAAAAGTTTCCTGGGGTTTGAAATGTAGATTGTTGACTTTCCTACTCGAGTTCCCTTCTTGCCCAAGACCATAATTCCAAGAATTCCCCAGCATCATTCCAGGAATCTAAACAGTCTTTTAAACAGCTGCTAAATGTCGATGGTCTCACGATTCCTTAAAGGAATTTTTCTGTGGGTGGAGGAAGCCTCCCTTATGGCTCTTAATCAAACGTTGAAAATGTGCCCATAACAACGACTGGAACAGAGTGGAATCTTCAGAACTGCAATGCAGATAAAGGGTCTCCTCTTCCATAAATAATGACTTTCTATAGAAAAACTAATTGCCTTCTTCTTTTCTGTTGAGTAAAAAGACTGTTGATACATGATAAAAGCCAAATAAGCTCTAATAACCAGTGTTACTTCAGTCTGCTGATTTCCCTTTCCCACGCTTCCCCTGGCATTGACTTCCTGAGGCAGTCACACAGGTTAAACAGCAGAATTCACCTGCCACATGACAGAGGGACACGCAGCAAGGCGGAGGTGACTGCTCCATCAGCACACTAAGCAACTTCCCCCTACTTCACCGTGCTTAGCACGAGATAGGGGGCACTGAGCTCTCACAGCCCCTCAGCGCCACACCACGTCCCCACTGCAGGCTAGCCAAGGATCCAGAACCTTTGTGAGCCCCATGAATCTGAGGCCTGGAATGGCTGCTGTGTGCCCAGGCTCTCCTCAGGTTCTTCTTCCAAGTCACGGTTAATGAGAAAATGTTCTCAGTCTGAGTTGAAACCAAGAGGTTAACAGAATATTCTGGGTGGGGGAAGGCATCAGAGAGACCTCTGTGCACAGCCAGCATTCGCATACTCGTTAATGGAAAAGGAAAGTTCATCCTGATGCCACAAGGGTCTGGCCATCAAGAACACAGAGAAATGCAATTCACTCCTCTGGCCGTATCAGAAACAAATATGGAGGAGCCTCTCCATGCATGCCTCTTGACTTGACTGCCTTTTTCTTCTACAACTTGACTGCTTTTGGCTTTTTTCTTTTGATTTTTGAAAGTCTATGTTTTGAGCAGTTCTGTTCAATTTGGTCGCTTCACATACAGTGTGGGGGTTAGGTGAGTGTTTTTGCTTTCAAATGATAGTCAAACCTTGGAGGTCTGAGGACTTTCCCTGCTACCTGTCATCAACTCAGTGCACACTTCTGAGACATGTATTTTTAAAAAATTAAATTGATGCTTTATGTATTTGGAAAAAATCTGAATTTGTCTCCATGAGAAGTATTGTATTACACAAACCTTTCCTATCTACCAAATTGAGTGAGACAAATAAATGAGTCATTCTCCCTGGCCAGGGCTTTATCAAACGCCCCAGCATTCCCAGTGTTGGTGACCTATTAATAGAAAACAAATATTAAGTCTCAGACCTACTTACTCAACTAAACTGAACTGTAGGAATAAAAACTGGACCTTGGACTCCGGCAAGCCACTAAGGCGGGGCCGCCCCAATATAGTGAGCACATTTAGGTCTACTCATATTTAAAAGTTTAGTCACATTTTGGGGCAAATTTAATTCTCAAATATAAGGTTATTTTGAAGTTATTCTGCTCGTGCACTGGATTTTCCCATGTTTCTGGAACTCTAATGACTTATTTTCAACCGAAAGCCTCTATACTCTCCATTATTGCAGAAAGGATAGGGAAGGAACATTTCCTTGCAGTCAGCTGCCCTGTGAACAAGCATAAAAGAAACCCAGCATATTTGTAATGACTCCTTGTGAAATCTCTGGCAGAGATAGAGCTGAACTGATTCCAACAGCACTCCATTTCCTGCTAATGCCCTATGAATGGTTGTTAAGAATAATGCCATGTGGATTGTTGAAGAAGAAATATTTTAACGACATTTGTTACAGTACAGTAAGAAAGAATTTATTCAGGACCATTGCAATGGGTATAGAGACCACAGCAATGTGGTCTTGCCATGGAGGAGACGGACCAGGCTCAATGCTGAATACAGCAATTTATAGCCAAGGACCAGGGTGGGACTTAGTGGACAGAAAATCACTAAGAGAAAATGCCAGGGTGAGGCAGGGTTCTACTTGAAGCAGCCCACCAGAATTCTTGCTGAAGACAAGCCAGATGATCAGACGTCACCTGGGGGATGGTGGAGGATAGTCAGATACTAAGCATGGGGTGTTCTTACTAAACGAACTGGATTTTACAAGGAACTAAACAGATGGGTGTAGCAGAAGATTCAGAAGCCTGACTAAAGTTTGGCCACGTAAAGAATCTTTGTCAGAACTTAGAACATAGAGGACAACTGTGGCTGAAGAATTATCCAAAATTAAAGGAAAATAGTGACCCAAAGAAGGAACTCACCTAATTTGATAGCCTGTAAATATGGTACTCCAGAGGGTGTCCAAAGTCAATATCCTTTTCTCTGAAATTAACTTCATTATGCTGGATGTAGATATAAGAAAGAGAATTTTGTAATGTTTACTGAGCATTGTTTAAGAAAGAGAGAAGGTCCAAGATCATAAATTCCCCAAGGGCAGGTCATATGAGGTCTTAGCTATTTTTGCATCTCCAGTGCCTGACATGGTAACTAGTACCCTGTACAGGTTCAATGTACGTTCATTATTGGACCTATTCTATGGCAGAAATCTCAGTTATTAGAAATGTTCATTTCATCAGATTTTTCATGGCTTTAAGGCCATTTAATTTCTTTAGGTTATTTAGCTTTCTGTAATTCCTGCCAAGCATATGTCTATTCATAGATGTGTTATCCCCATTATCTTGATATCTGGAACAATCTGGGAAAGTGGACACAAGCTACCGAAAAGGACTCTCTCATTGTGAACTAATACATTGAAAGACTGGCTTAGGAGATGTGCTAGCGTGAATCGGTGTGCTACAGTCAGATCAACTCCAGAGTAACCGGTGGAAGGGAGTTTCCCAACCAGTTATGCTAAGGATTACACCTTGGTCTGTGCTAAATGCCCTAAGAAACTGCCACAGACTGAGGTCCTGCCTAACCCACAGGCCAGTCCTGATGCTGGCATCCATGCCATCCATGAAAGGGCCTCCCCTAGGCAGCAATTCTAAGCATGGTATGAATCAATCAATGAATAAATCAGTCACAACTAACTAAATAAATTAAAATAAGCTTTAAAACCATTTGCTATTTTGAATGGTAGAAGATACTGAGAAATAAAAGAAAATGCAGTAAACCAGGTGAAAACATAGCCTTTGGAGACTAGAAGGGCTAGGATTGAATTGTTATTCAGTTATTATTCTAGATTGGTTATTACTTTGTGCAAATTAAGTAAACTTTTAAAATCTCAGTGTTCTCTGTAAAATTAGAATAGTAGTATCAATTTCATTGGGCTGTGAGGATTAAATGAGATGACCTACATAGAGGTCTTTGAACTCTACTACTGGCAATATGGCAGACTAGAGATTCTAAAAATCCTCCCCCTACAGAAACATCTAAGAATATTAGAGTCAATATTTAAGAAAAAAACGGGCTGGGCACGGTGGCTTACGCCTATAATCCCAGCACTTTGGGAGGCCAAGGCGGGCCGATCATGAAGTCAAGAGATCGAGACCATCCTGGCCAACATGGTGAAACCCCATCTCTACTAAAAATACAAAAATTAGCCAGGCTTGGTGGCATGTGCCTGTGGTCCCAGCTACTTGGGAGGCTGAGGCAGAAGAATAGCTTGAACCCAGGAGGCGGAAGCTGCAGTGAGCCAAGATTGTGCCACTGCACTCCAGCCTAGAGACAGAGCAAGAGTCCGTCTCAAAAAAAAATAAATAAAACAAACAAACAAACAAACAAAAAACTCGTTAAACATGTTATGGCTGAGTTAGCAAGATAAAACAATTCCCCTGAAGTCAGGAATGAATTCATAGGATAAATCCAGGGAAATAAGAGATTGTTGAATATAGGGAGGTAGAGACATCTAGAGCTCTAGGTTCTGGGGCTGGGGCTTTAATACTAATGGAAACATGCGTGGGCAGAAGATTAGGGAGGAGGAGAGCCAGAGAGCACCACAGAACGACAAGATACATCAAGGCTGTGCCCTCAGAAAAATGTCAAGACAAGGGGTTATGAGCACCCTACCCAAATTGCTGACAGGGAAAGTGATCTGTCTTGGTCTTGGCTCTTAGTGGAAAGGACAAAGTCTCCCATGGGTAGGGTTTTCAGTTTTATCAAATAAAATATGAAGTACAGGAGTTTATAGGTCAGTGAAACTGTTCCATCACATGCTATAATGGCGAACACATGACATTACATCTATGTCTAAAACCAGTGAATGTATAACACCAAGTGTGAACCCTAATGTCAACTACAGGACTCTGAGTCACAATGAAGTGTCAGTGTTTGTTCTTCAGCTGCAACAAATGCACCACCCTGTGGGGGCTGTGGATGATAGGGGAGGGTGTGTGTGAGGGTGGGTAGGAGAAGGTAGGGCGTATATGGAGACTCTGTTTTGCACTTGGAGGAGTGCTGTGTGCCTGTAGTGCCAGCTACTTGGAAGGCTGAGGCAGGAGAATCGCTTGAACCCGGGAGGTGGAGATTGTAGTGAGCCAATGTTGCTGTGAATTCCCATGGAATACTATGCAGCCATAAAGAAGAATGAGATCATGTCCTTTGCATGAACATGGATGGAGCTGGAGGCCATTATCCTTAACAAACTAACTCAGGAAGAGACAACCAAATACTGCATGTTCTCACTTGCAAGTGATGAGAACATATAGACATATAGAGGAGAACACCACATGTTGGGCCTATCAGAGGATAGGGGGTGGGAGGAGGAAAAGGATTAGAAAAATTAATGTGTACCAGGCTTAATATCTGGGTGATGACATAATCTGTATAATGAACCCCCATGACACAACTTTATGTATATAACAAAGCTGCATTTGTACCACTGAGCTTAAAATAACAAAGTTTAAATTTTAAAATTTCCTGTGATTTCAAAAATACTCTACAAAACACTCCATGTGTTAACATATATTTAAAAATATAGGATCCCTAATTTGAATTTTATGTAATTAACATATCTATACTAAAATTTTTTTATTAATCGAAACTCAAATTTAACTGAACATTCTGTATTTTTTATGGCTACCCTACTCCTGATAATCTTTGGCTATTAGCCAGCCCTAACATAAATTTGGGTCTCGATTCCATACTATTTGTCTAAAAAATGTAAGCTAAAATGTTTATATTAAATAGATCCAAATTTGTATTGTCCTGAAGCATCTGGTAAAAGCAAACAAAAATCATTTCTGTAAAAGATGTGTCTTTGTCCCAGCATTTAAAGTATTCCCACAAATAGATTTTCAGGGGCCAGGAGTGTTGGCACATGTCTGTAAGTTCCAGCTACTTGGGAGGTGAAATGAGAGGATCACTTGAGCCCAGGAGTTTAAGTTCAGCCTGGGCAATACAGTGACACCCCATCACTAATAAAAACTTTTAAAAATAAATTAGAAAATTAAAAAGAAAGGTTTTGAATAAATATAAGCTTATAATTAAAACACACACACACACACACACACACACACACACACACACACACACATACACGGAAACAAAAGAGAACAGAAAAAAACAAATACTAGCCCAGGCTCACCAGAGCTTTATATAGTAGAATTATTAGATATAGATTATAAAATGTTTTCATGTTTAAAGAAATAGGGGAAATTGAAGCCACGAGCGAGGAGATTTTTAGGAATAACCAGTAACATACAAAACACAAATCTTTAAAACAGAGAAATATAACTACTGAAATGAAAAACTCAAAGCAACAGTTAAATAACCGATTACACACAGTTTAGTAAAGAGAGTGGCAGAAAAATGTGAGGGAAATCTCAAAGCATAACACCCAACAAACATTCAATTGGAATTCCATATAAAGATAGTAAAGTGAGTAAAAGAGAGGCAATTAGAATTTCCCAAAATTTTGAGGATTGATAGTAGGTATCAATCCTCAAAATTAGGAAGCATAAAGAATACCATGCAATGCTGGGCATGGTGGCTCATGCCTGTAATCCCAGCACTTTGGGAGGCTGAGGCAGGCGGATCATAAGATCAGGAGCTCAAGATCAGCCTGACCAATATGGTGAAACCTCATCTCTACTAAAAATACAATTAGCTGGGCGGAGTGCCGTGTGCCTGTAGTGCCAGCTACTTGGAAGGCTGAGGCAGGAGAATCGCTTGAACCCGGGAGGGGGAGATTGTAGTGAGCCAAGATCATGCCACTGGGCAACAGACTCTGTCTCAGAAAAAAAAAAAAAAGAGGCCGGGCGCGGTGGCTCACGCCTGTAATCCCAGCACTTTGGGAGGCCGAGGTGGGTGGATCATGAGGTCAAGAGATCGAGACCATCCTGGTCAACATGGTGAAACCCCGTCTCCACTAAAAATACAAAAAATTAGCTGGGCATGGTGGTGCGTGCCTGTAATCCCAGCTACTCAGGAGGCTGAGGCAGGAGAATTGCCTGAACCCAGGAGGCGGAGGTTGCGGTGAGCTGAGATCGCGCCATTGCACTCCAGCCTGGGTAATAAGAGCAAAACTCCAACTCAAAAAAAAAAAAAAAAGAATATCGTGCAAGATCTCTTCTAGATACATCACTAAAAAACTGAAGAATGTTAAAGTCAGAAAAAGATTTCAAAGCAACCAAAGAGAAAAGATATGATCTTGTATTTAATTAGACACTCGACTGACGTCAGAACCGCAACCGAGGAAGTCAGAAGAATATTATCTATAAAGTACTAAGAGAAACTAACAACCAATCCAGAATTATGTCCCCAGCAAATCACTTTCAAGAATGATGGCAAATATAGATATTTGCACATGAACAGATACATTCAGGTAAGTTGGGAGCAGTATACCAACAAGACACCCTCTCTAAAACACTTCTGGAAGAATGTTCTACAGAAGAAAATAAATTAGCTCAGATGCAAAAAGCAAAGAAAATGGTAAGTATGTGTGTATATCTGAACAAGCCTAAGTAGTAGAAGATAATAATAACAGACTATATTTGTGGAGATTTTAAAAAATTACCAAATATGTATTAGCCCATAAATTTTAACAGTCCTGACTCCATGTTAGAGAAGAGTTTGCTTGCTTGCTTGAATATAATTATTGTTTTGATAGAGTTTGTAGATTATTTACTGAGATCAGCCTCAAGAAAACACAACTGTCAACAGATAAAATGAACAAGCAGGCCAGCCTGGTAAGACCAGGCTGATGGCGCTAGCACAAAGTCTCACAACACTGATCAAGAAAGCAATGATTAACTGCCTGCCTGAGACTGCACACATTTCACAAGTATGTTTTACATTTCCCTAATTAAAAACAACAACAACAAAACCCTGATCTAAAGGCACAACTCAGAGAGATGATCTCTGAACGCCAGTCACTGCCTTGCCCTGGTTGGCTGGTTTCTCCAATGAAGCAGACTTCCACCAAAGCTGCTCTCTTGAGTTTCTCACTTTCAACTGATGAGTGGTGTGGACTTGAGTTTGGTTACAAAATCAAGTCTCATAAATTTTGGAAAATTGATATTAAATAGACCTTGTTTTTTGACAAAATATAATTCAGGTTTTTAAACAGCAAAAATTTCTATATGTTTGGAAATTATAAAAACATCTAAATAATTCATTAATCAAAGAGCTATAATAGAAATTAAATAGGAATGCTTTTACACTGTTGGTGGGAGTGTAATTAGTTCAATCCTTGTGGAAGACAGTGTGGCAATTCCTCAAGGATCTAGAACCAGAAATATCATTTGACTCAGCAATCCCTGAGTATATACCCAAAGGATTACAAATTATTCTACTATAAAGACACATGCACATGTATGTTTATTGCAGCACTGTTCACAATAGCAAAGACTTGGAACCAATCCAAATGCCCATCAATGATAGACTGGATAAAGAAAATGTGGTACATATACACCATGGAATACTATGCAGCCATAAAAATGGATGAGCTCATGTCCTTTGCAGGGACATGGATGAAGCTGGAAATCATCATTCTCAGCAAACTAACACAGGAACAGAAAATCAAACACCACATGTTCTCACCATAAGTGGGAGTTGAACAATGAGAACATATGGACACAGGGAGGGGAGCATCACACACCAGGGCCTGTCAGTCGGTACGGGGCTGTGGGAGGGATAGCATTAGGAGAAATACCTAAGGTAGATGATGCATTGACGGGTGCAGCAAACCACCATGACACG